GTTAGAAATCAATCGAAATCTAATGTTGTTTGATATTGTATTCTAAAAGCTATTAAAGTCAACAGAATTCGAAAAATGCTCAAAGTTTCAAATTTTTTCTAAGGATGCAAATTGTTTAGAGCTTATATTTCTTAAAGCACTAGTTTAAAAAATAAAAAAGATCGGCAGATGTAGTGCGCATCATGCGCATGAAGTTTCATGCAATTTCCCATCCCTACTCGTGCTTAACGTCGAGATTAAGGATGGGCAGATTAGTACTATACGTAGAGATGGACATTATGCAACTTTTCGATCACATATAATTCAATTGTTGATAATTTTAAGGCTGGTCTAATTGAATAAAAAATATCATGAATTGGTTTTAATTCAGAAAATGAAAAATGAAGTCCACAACAAAAATAACGGTTGCAAATAAAAATTTCAAATTCTTGTTGCTCTGCAGAAGAAATTCTATCAATAGAATTAATAATTGAGGTGTTAACTAAATGAGTTGCTTGAGATAAAGAAGAGGAAAAAGAAGAGGAAGTATAGGAAGTAGGATTCTCAGATTGTGATGACTGCGTAATTATATTTTGATTTTGTTGAAAAATATTCATCAAGTACATGATGTGAAACTTTGGTACATTTCTTAAGGTGTTGTTCACAGCGATTTACGGCAGCAAGCAATTTATGTGAACAATAATTACATTGAGCACTTTCTTGTTTATAAGTGACCTCATGGCCAAGCTTTGTAAAATGAGACCAAATTTTACTAAGCGGAGGCATAAAAAATAAATTTTTTTTTAAAAAACTTCGTGTAATATTACATATTCGTTACTATTATTATTATGCGTATTTTAAAAAATTCATTGCGCAATTTTGCCCATCTCTATGTGGAAGGCTCGCTAAAAATCATGTATTTTTCCGCAAAAATATCCGCAAATTTGCGCAGCATCATGAAAATATCCAATTTTATTGGTGGGTTGGGTGCGTGTTATCCTTATTTAGTAATTGATTTGGCGATTGCGGATATTTTTGCGGAAAAATACATGATTATGGCTCGCTATAGAGAATGTGTGTGAAATTTATTTAATTGTTTTATTGCATCATTTTAAAATATACTATTTAATTTTATTAGCTTTCAAAAAAAAAAAAAAAAATTCACACATGCATAAACAAGTAAGAGAGATAAAGTGTGTTAGTTTTATGAAATTTCTTTCGATGCATGAAGACAAATTAGGCGTTTATTTTCACACAAAATGAATGTTATAAATCAAGAAATCATTTAGATTTGAATTTCATTGATAAAAAGAAGATATCATTTATTTTTAATTTTTTATTAAAGACTTTGTTTTTCCTTGACAAAAAATCAAAAATAAATAATGGAATTTGACCCTGAGCTTTCCGTGACTTCATGGTTTGTCAGCCCATTAACATTGCTGATATTTAGAGCAATGGCAACAACAATTACATGGATGAATTTGTTATTATTTCTATTTAAATATGGTGCTGAATACTTTTTTTATTTTGAAAATTTGAGTTATCTTGGATTAACATTTTATTTTACTGTAAGGTTCCTTTACTTATTTGAAAAAAAATTATTTTCAAAAAGAGAAAAAGTAATGTAACTATTTTTTAAAAAATACAAAGGTTGCATTCCATCATTCAATAAAATATGTAGAAACTGGAACAACAAATTCATTTAATCAATCTCCAAAATTCTTTAGCTGGACATTCTGGATACTTTATCATACGGTTGTACATTACCAGTGAGTTTTTTATTCAATTGAATTGCATATAAAATAATTTGTATTTATATAGTTTCTAAAATAACAACAATGACAATGATGATGATGATGATGATGATGATGATGATGATGATGATGATGATGATGATGATGATGATGATGATGATGATGAT